TTATGAGAGGTAATTTTATAATCTACAACCAGATATGTAGACTAAATTTTGATACGACTTAGCAAGGTTTAAGGAAGTTGTGGCAGAAACAAACCAGCGTGTTTCTTGAGTGTGACCAATTATCCTCACTAAAACAATTTGTATTTTTAGGAAGATGGTAAATAGAAAGATGCCTGTGTTGCCAAGGTTCAGAAACCCACTCAGCCCAAAGGTTATCTGAGAATGTGAGTTAGATAATATGGCTTTGCAGACAAAAATGTTGTGATGTGTATCAAAATATTGCAAAGGGGTAACTGCTCTGCCAGAATGAAAGCCAGGCCAGAGAGATGTGAAGCACAACAAGCCAGGGTGATTCAGTCCATTCCTATAAACAAGATACAATGGAAAGAGGTTGCATAATTAACCCTAATAAACAGTATTTAATATGCCATCTATTTAAAATTAAACTGCTGTCAAAGCAGCGTTTTTATTTCTCATTTTAATTCTGTTCAAAGCAAATAAAGCCGTGTCTGCGGTATTGCCCCAGGCAACGACATTAACTGTTCCAAATGTGGGCTTTTGCAGCCTGATTTACAGTGTTGTGGAATGACCAACATTATATTGCTGTTTGAGTGACCTGGTGAGAAACACCCGGCGCTCATCTGGAGCGGGAGCGACAACGACTGAACGCTCTCCTTGGGCCACCTGGATCCTGTTAAGTGCAGGCATAAATCAAAGCAACCTTCACATGACAGAGGCTTGTCCAGGCTGAGACTGGGTCAGACCCACTCCTTCCAGCAAACTAAAACTGAACTGTAAAAGGCTGTGGTGTTATTATTTGCTTTGTAGTAGCTCCTGGAGTCATTTCGCCGTGAAAGTGCAGGGAGTCACAGTCCAGAAGAGTCAAACTTGTCTTCTTTCCTTGTGCTTTTGACTCATCTGCACCTGCATCCAAATTTCACGCACGAGTTTGGCCTTGAGCAAAGGCTTGGCTGGCACTTCAGATATAAGACTGACGCTACCACCAAGGACAAACAATTTGCCCATTTTCACCCCACAGACTGGTGGCAAAGGCAAGGACAGGATTTAGGGCTCCAGAGTCATCAGTTAATAGGTCTGCTCTGGCCCCCAGTGCCTGCAGGAAGGGCAGTGTCACCAGTTAGACAGACCTGAGCTTTTCAGATGAGATTGATACGGAGAGGAAGATTCCTGCAGGTGGTAGAACTTTAAAATAGCAACTCTCTACATAGAGGAAAGCTTTTAGTTCAAGAACCCCTTGACAACTTTTAGTCTTCCCTAAGCTATCCAAGGTAGACTGCAACACTCATATGGAATACACATTTCATTTAGAATAGTAAATATTTATTCTTCTAGAGGTCCAGAGCTCAGCAGCACTGGATAACTGAAGTTATTCCTGTACGTACTGGCAGTCTTCACCTACCCCAACACCACCACAAGTTTACTTCAGCTCTGACATGCAAGACCACCCTTCCATATTTACCCTCCATTGTGGCCATTGTGAGTGCAGAATGCCAATCACTCTGCACCACATGGAGCTTGTGGCAGGGCTTGTGCTGTGGTGACAGCTGTCCTCTGCAGTCAGGGAAAAGATTCTCTAAGGTGGTCTCTAAGAAAGGCAGATTTTGTGGTAGGTGGAAGTATGCTTGGCATTTTTTGTATTCAAATGGACAGAAATGGGATTGAATTTTTGTATAAAAATGCAAAGGTAGGAGCAACAGGTGAAACTACTGAAAATAAAGAAGATGTAAGTACCCATTAACACATTCTATATCTTTCCTTTTGATGGAAAAGGCTAAGAATTATCTGCAAAAATCCATTAAAAAAATCCATCTCCTGCTGTGGAATTCTACTTTATTTTTTACTGGCTCCTATGAAGTCCTTATCACCAGAGTATAAACCATTTCACTTCTGAAACATCATAAAATTGCTGCCATTAAAGCCCTGGTAATTAAAGCTTGTTTGAGACCACAGAGTTTGTAAGCTGCAAGAGAAAATTCCTAAAGCCATCTTTTACAGGATTTTGATTAGAAACTCTTTCCAGATATGGGCAGATGAAATGTTCTAGACAATCTCAAGGCAATCTTAATTCATGTAACATTGATTTACTGAGGAGCTCATAGCTCAAAATAGGCTTTGATGGCAATATCTTATCTCCTCAAATCTGATAAACTCTGAGGACAGATGTATTGCTACAATTAACATAAATATATACTGCAGAAAGCAAGGAGGAAAATAACAAATCTGAGAAAACAGGCCCTCCTTAATGCCACCTCCTGTGCACTGCGTAGCCAGGTTCCACACTAATTGTAGGACTCACAAGTAAGTTCCAAGGAAAGAAATTTATCCTGGGAGGCTCCCCAACATGTCTGAGCTCTTTCCAGAGGTGATTTTTACACCCTAATTAACATCTGTCACCAGCCTCTTCCCTCATCTCTTCTTGGGGAAGAAAGGTCTGCTTGTGGCCTCGTGTTTGGTGAGGCCAGGGGCAAACTGCAATCATAAGACTGGATTTCTGAATTGCTGGATCAGTGATTTTTGTATCTATATTTTAAAACTCCAGGCATTAGGAAAAGAGACTCTCAACTTCTTTACTGTGCAGGTGACCGAGCACTGGAACAGCGTGCCCAGAGAGGCCATGGAGTCTCCTTTTCCCGAGGTATCCAAAAGCTGTCTGGACACAGTCCTGAGTACTGTGGTCTAGGGATTCTTGCTTGAGCAGGGAGCTGGACTAGGTGACCCCCAGTGGTCCCTTCCACTCCTACCCATTCTGTGATGACACTGCATTCCTGCAGAGGTTCATGCCATCCTTGTAGACCACCCCAAAGAAAACTGTTGTCCTGCTGAGGCAGCTTTGGCAGAGAAGGTGTCCCATGGTGTGGGAGTTGTCTCTCTTGATTTTCATGTGAGTATTCCAAGCGCAGGATATTGGTCTAGGGTTTGGACTCAAGGGGGAAGGTGAGGGAAAAGTGAGGCACTGAGACCATAACAACAGCCTTACTAACACAAATAAAAGGAAGGCAGTCCAATTTGTGTGAGTCTCTGGTAAGATGGCATGAAACACTACCTGAAAAACAATTGCTAATATCTTCTCTAACACCAAAACCCTTTAAAAAGTCTCTTTAGAGCAGTCAGCAATAGTCAGAAACTGCTTCTTGGACCTATCCCTCAAAACCACGTACACACAGTCAAACCAGAAGGTGCTGCTCTGCGTGCCTCGCTCGACAAAAAGAACATGAGGGTGAAAAGCAAAGCATTTCCAGTGACCAGTCCAAGGTCATGTCATGGTTGTGTCACAGGGAAGGACACAGCAGGAGAAGAGGTGCTGCTTCTCATGTGTTTTTCTATCATCTGACAGAATGGGTGTTCTTTGCAAAGAAATGTCTACTGAGGGAAAGAAGGTGGGACAAAGGATCATGAAATAACATGGCAATTCCATAAAATTTCTCAGGTGCTTCCCTTGGCACCGGCCCAGTGCCAGTCAAGACTTGAGGGATGTTTAGCAAAGCTGGAAATTTCCCTTTGAAGCCAGGGATATTGCAGTCTTCTGATTTTATTTTTTTTTCATACTTAACCGGAAAAAGAACAAGAAAGGTTGAAATTTCCCATGAAATGGAAATCCTGAGTGATTTTGCCCTGATAGCATCAGAACATCCTATTTGCATAGACTTGTTTCAACATGCCTGCAGTCTTTACAATGCTTCATATCTACGGAATTGTTTAGAGTTTTAGAAAAACACAAATTCAACAGGATTTTTTGAGTGAAAACACAATCTTTTGTTTTAATCGAAACGGTGGTTCTCAGTAACTTCCTCCTGAAAAAACAATTGGTTTCCTGTCCAAACATAGCTTTCCTTCATTGAATAAGTACACTTTGTTGGAAGATGTCCACAATCTCCAGTCCACTTCCAGTTAAGCCTGTGCAGAGAAGTATTGCAAGTGCTTACACGTTTGCAGGAGCCAAGCCATGGACATATCATTACAGTTCCAAGTTGTTTAATCTTTTGTCTAAATATAAATAGATGAGAGAATATCAGTAATTTCCTCTGTCCCTCTCTCTGTAGGGGGTTTATCTGCGTGAGGGAAGGCTTTAGGATTAAGGCCAGTCATTGGGGCTGTTTGCAGGCTATCTGGTTAGGAAGGTTCATGAGCTGTTTGGAGATAACACCCTGTTCATACTTGGCCTGATCAGCCATGCTCCGAAGGGCATCCCACATCAAACCCAGTGCTGATTTAAAGAAACAACAGCTCAGCTGTTCTGTGCCTGCTGCTTATGGTGCAAAATGGGAGCTTTCCCATGAGGCCGAACGGACTGAAAGGGTCTTTTCCTTCCATTTGGCTGTTTGGGCCAACCTCCAAAGTCTTTAATTCCCTGCTGATTTGGGACCTGCCAGCGAGAAGAAAGCACCTTTTTCCCGTAGACCTGATTAGCCCAATAAAACTGGAAGTTGTGGGTGGTTTCTTCAAGAGAGATCTCCTGGAATTTTGGGCCAGTTTACAGGAGCTTTCACTCTTATTGGCCATGATCACTGCCCTTATCTTTTCCCATAAGTGTTATCAGTGTTTTGCTTTTCATCAGAAATGTCTTCCTTTACTCCCTCTTGATCTCTGGGGGGTCACTCGCCTACCAAATATTCAGCAAAAGGGGTGAGCATTCACCCTGATGAACTCGGATCCACATTTCTTCCCAGTCCTAACACTCTCCTCACATGACCCCAGTTTCTTCTTTCGCTGTCCAAGTCCTATAGCTAAAAAAAACAACTCCATCACAGTGGCTGGCTGACACAACCAGATAAAGACGACACAGCTCATAAGGGAAACTTGGAAGGGAAGCCCTAAAGTTTGATGGCACTACACAGGGAACTAAATTTTATCCAAATAAAAGGCACCCTTCAAAAAAAAAAGGTTTCTATGGGATCCTGTTACCCGATAGGGATTAAGGCCTGTACTTGAGCTGGGCAGCTCTCCGGCTTGGTAATGCCATAATTTGGGAGTTTGCTGAGCTACAGCTATTTTCAGTTGTTAGACTGAAACGTCCTTTTCATCTCTGCAATCTCATTCAGTCCCTTAGCATTGTGGGGATGCAGGCAAACCACTATAAATAACTGAACCTTTTTGTGTCAGCTGGTACAAATACCAGCCACTTCGAACAATCTGACCTTTCTTGGGGATTCTGACCAATCTGCAGTGGAAGTTGGCTGATATCTTTCAGGATTTTCCGCAGTTAAGGTATATTTAAAAATTGCTGGCTGTTTGTGTGCACTCCAAATGCTTTCTGGCTTGTTTAATCTGGCTGTGACACTTTGTTCTGTGGTTAAAAAATGAAAGTAATGTCCCAGTTAATGATTTTTGATGAAACCCATTATTCTCACAGCTATTTTTAAACACCTTGCAAGGCAAATCAATCTAACACACCTACAAGACTAATATTTTAATAAACTAACAGAGACAGTGGGCTAAAGCCATGGCATTTTTTCCTCTGAACTCTTGGTTTTAAATGAAACCCTGTGAGGTTACCTTGGCATTCCCTTGCATGAAGAAAGCAAAACCTAGCAAATAAATTGCTGTTGCTGTCTCCTCAAGTTCGTCTTCAGCTTTAAATGGAAAACAAAATAGAAAATGGCTTCAGCTTCATAATTAGCAAAAGCTGATGAAGGATGTTCCTGCAGAAGATATTAAATGATTATGAGATTTCCCCCTCTTCCACACACCTGTTAAATGGAAACTGATAATGCCTCTCCCTTATTAATATCTTATGAGGAAAGTCAGAGGAGATGTATCCTTGATCAAGAGATATCCATTTTATGCTTACTGCTGTAGTTCTTTCTGGAACAGAGAATGAATCTTGCCTCTGTGAGAAACTGAAGATATTGATACAGTCATTGTACAGTCATTACAGTCATGATACAGTCATTACAGAAAAATAATGAGAAAAGGCTATAAAATACAAAAAATAATCTAGACTGTGGCTTGCTTCCTAGCTTTGCTAGAAGCTGCACTGAAATTTCAAGCAGATTTTTCATATCTGGCATCCTCCCATTCATTCACACTGTATCTGAGAGCTTTACCCCAGCTGCCCCATTTGTCAGAACCAGAGCAGAAAGGATCACAGTTTTCATCCACTGGGAGGAACAGCTCAGAGAGGTAAATGCTGGGAAAAAATTAGACTTTTTCCAGAGTGAGGCCCTACCCGACAGAAGCAGGAGTGGCTGTGTAGAGCTCACTAGAGTGAGATTTCTTAAGCCACTTTGCTCTCCCTTGTGAGCACAGTGCATTTCAGCTATGTACGTAAGAGAAGATGCTCAAGAGCACAAATCTCCAGTCTGTAGGATCTGGGCATTTTATATCTTTATATATTTTATATCAGATTTTATATCTGGTCTGAGACTGCAAGATGAATTCTGTATCAGGTCCTTGTATCAAATCTTAAGTTGCCCACAAGCAGTGTGATGGTGAAAGGGTATTTGCCTATTTGCTGTTGCAGAGTAAATCTGGAGTTGATGAAATTATTGCCGCATTATAAAGTCTGCAAAAGCATATTGTCTTCAAACAAGGAGATGCTGATATGAAGTTGGACAAGCCTTTCACCAGTTTAAAAATATAATAGATTTGAAGGACATCAATGAGGAAGGACTGAAGGGAAAACGAATCAGCTGGAATACATTCCTCCCTGCATTGCTTTCCCTGCTCCCCAAAACAAGCAGGCAAACTCTCCCATATCTTCTGAGAAAAACTCACAGAGAGCTGCAACTCTCTGCTGAGCTGGACAGTCCAGAGCCACCACAGACACTTATTTCATAACCTGGCTCTTCCCATCGAAGCTGCACTTGCTCACAGCCATGTGTTGTGTCGAGCAAGTGCCTGTGTTTTTATATCTTCCCCTTTGCAGTGAATAAGTGAAATTTTCAGGCACATTTCTCAGGGACTGCTCTGTCCCTGCAGCTCAAGCCAGGAGCTGTACCAGGGAGCACAGAACGACCCCATGACTGGCATTAGCTGTGCTCTCTCTATTAAAGGCAGCTGTCAGAAAAGGAGAGAGTTACTGAATGTCAATTAAAATGCTTCAGTGATTTAAGTGGGCAACTTCCATGCACTGCTTTGTAACGCGACACTCCCCCGTGTCCAGTTAACAGCACTGCTCTTACAGAAGCCCCTAGTAGGTCAATTTATGCAACAGCATTGACAGTGACCTTAAGGAGGGATCATTAAACTATTCTCCTTGCCTGAAACTCGTAACTCTATCTGCTTTCCCTGCAGCAGAGGATGAGACAAGGCAGGGAGGGAGGGAGCAGTCCGTTGACCACCCAGAACGAAGGAAGAACTTGAAATTACTTTGTTAGCCCTGATTCCTCTTGGTGCACACCCTAAAGAGAAAAGTGAGGGAAAAAAAGCCAGCAGTGTGGTACCCGCAGTGGGTAAGACCTCACTGGTGTCTAACAGCAGAGCCAGAGGGAGTGGGAGCACTTTGAAGACTGGTGAGTGCCAGGGGGCAAAGGGTGATGCTCTGCTGCCACTGCAGGGAGGACAGCAGGGCCCTGTTGTCCCAGGGCTCTGTGGGCCACTGCTCCACTTGCCCCAGCAGCCAGATGCACCACCAGCACCCAGCACACTGAAACATGGCAGAAGTCTGGGAGGGGACGTGCCAGCAGCCGCACCACGCCCACAGAGGTTTTGGCAGCTGTGCCTGTTAACTTACAGGAAAGGATGACTTTTGTCACTTGTCTCATCTGAGGCACACTGCAAAGTTTAGCTGAAAGCTTTTAGTGGTCCCTTGACTCTGAGCCTGCAGATATAGAGAGATAGAGAGCATAATAAACTTTCAAAATATGACCAACTGCATAACGCAGCAAATGTGTATCCTAACTGTATCCAGTGGAGCTGAATGGAAACAAACACACCATTTCAAACCAGACCACACACAGCAAGATAGTGCACATGACTAATTTTGATGACTGATTTCATATAAATAATGTACCAAGATTAGTAGATGCACTGTAACATCTCTTCTTTCCACTCCTTTAATTAACTTTTCATTGAGAATCCAATTGGAAGTGGCTAATAAAATGTTTGCTTTTTGCTGCTTAGATTAAAAACGCATCCTGTCCTTACCAAAACCAGGGGGAAATTGCATGAAACTTAGGAAACAGCCTGCTTGATGCCATTCAAAACAGTGCCAGTGTTACAGCTCTTAGCTGGGTGGCAAAGGAAGAAATAACAGGTGTAGATAAGGAGTGGGAAGGGTACAGTATTATGGTTGCTACATGTTGTAAATTGCTATGGGAACCAAACAGTTTTGTTCTAGATCAGTTTTGCCACCTACACAAAAGGGGAATAACACACAGATAACCCTACAGCTGAGTTCTGTTCTTCTGATGCCTGGCAATGCTTAAATGAACTCATGAAGGAAGTGTTGAGTAGTGAAAGACAAATGACCTTTTCCATCTGGGAAAGGTCTTAAAATCTTAAAGCTGCAATGCCTATGTTTATCAGAAGAGAAAGAAGGGAAAATGCAGGTGAGGAAGAAAGAAGCCAAATCCCCACTGTCTGAATTCAAAGAGGACGGAAGGATTTAAAGGACCTGGTGACCTTCAGGAAATTGATCCTGGTGTTGATGGATCACTATATATAGGATGCAAACTAATAGGTCAGCTGCTGCCTTTTCACTGTATAAAAGGTAAGATTTACTACCAGTCCAAAGACAGAAATTTTAAATGGCTTTCAATGAAGCAATTTTAACACTTATTACACCGTCTCCAGGGATTTTCAAGACATTTTGCAAATAAGGCAGGCAGGTAGGGCAGATAAATCTTCTCATCCTGTCATTACTGATGATAAACCTGATACAGAAAGATGTGACATGACTTGTCCCAAAAAACCTCTTTAAGAGGGACCCCCATTGCTTGTGCCTCAGGTATGTGATTAAACACCAACTACCTTTCCCTTTCAACAAGTTTCATCAGCTTTCATACTGGAACTCTGCAGAACCACGGATTTCACATATTTTTTTAATACTAAGATTTCGATTAGTCCAGGTTTACTCAAAACAGTGGCCAGGGTCCCTTTATAATTCTATAAACCTGAGAGGACCTATTTGTGATCTTGGACTGAGATTCAAGTTTTAAAGCAACAGTGAAACTGAGGCACTTTTTCTTATATTCTACACTTGAATGTGCCTGAAAGGCTTGTGTGGAAGGCAGCTTGTAGACTTCCAAGGCCTTTTTCTGTTTCAGCCTTGATCCCAAATTTTGACTCTACTAAGGCCAACAGCTTCTCCATACAGCATTTGCAATACTAACATCTCAGATATTATTTGGATTGGACCTTCCAAGACACATTAGCAACCAAATTCACATTTAAAAGCTCCATCTGTAACAGGCAGTGCCCCACTGTCACACCATGGTGTGGGAGAGCAAAGTACTACAACAGCAGTGTCAAAGCTGGGTAGGGAAAGTTAATAACAGTAAACAGGACAAGAAAAAATAAATAATAAAAGGATTACCCACTGCATGGAAAGCTTCCCAAGGTTCAGCATGACGTGGGAAAGAATTCAGAATCCCAGGTTTCACTCAGACCATTTCTGGGAACAAAGGCACCTGTATTAAAATGACTGGTGTTGATTTTGGCAAACCATGATCAAATAGAATAGAAAAGAATAGAAAAATGGTATAAATCTGATTATCCCTGGGCACATAATTCTTGGTGCTTCACACATTCTCTCTACCCTTCCCACATATTTCTTGGCATGACCTGGTATCTTTTGTTTTGCACCACAACTTTTTTGATTAAGTGAAATATCTCCGAGATGGCAATTGGCAATAGGGTGAGAGCACTGTAGCTGGAGTGAGGAGGCTTCACAGGCACAGCCCTCCTACCTGCCAAGTCTCACCACAGTCTCCTACCCCCTGGATTCTTTTGGAACCCACCCTGAGAAAAATTCAGTCATATGTTCAGTTAATTTTAAACTAAAAACCAACCAGAAGACAACCAGAGTTAATAGTACTCATTTAAATTAGAACTTCTCCCATATATGGAAAAAGTCCTTGGCTGGGTTTCTCAGCAGCTGGAAATGCACACAACTCTGAGGTCTTGGACCACGGGCTGTTTCACAGCATCTGAGCACCTTCCCCAGCACTTCTGTCTAAAGGCATCAAGAAAAGAAAGACGGGAAACAGAAAAAATGCTGGAATCATTCCATAAAATGTTATCAAGATAAGAATAGCTAGAAATAA